CAGCTACAGATGGAATAATAATGATTGGAAGTAGCTGAGAGAAAAGTCCACAGTCAGAAGTCACTCTCTGAGGTCTCTGACCACAGGAATGAGACGGTGAAGGCCGTCTCAAAAGCACGTTTGATGGCCAACCATCAAAGGTGGGGTTGGGACGTCACATAGGGACCCAGAAAATGTCAAAGACCGAATGCAAAATATCTGTATTTAATGGCTTCATGAATCATACCTTGAATGATTAAAAACACAATACATTATTCAGTCATGTTCATTCCTCTTTCCCATCAAGGAGACATCCATGAAAGGGAGGATGTTACATCAGCAAATCTCATCAAATATTTAGTTTAATTGGAGGGGAATTAACCGGCCTTAAGAGTCAGTGGATTTGCAGGGCAGGTCGTAGCACGCTCACATACACTCACTGTATACATGTTCACACACACACACCGGCTGATAAACTCACATATCCATGTAACGCGGTTTAATGTGGCCTTTGTGAGCCCACATAAACAGCATCAATATTAGGTTTAGTATGACACGGTACTGCATTGAGTAGGAGGCTGGGCGGTGGGGGGGGTGGGGGTTCTCCACACACACACACACACACACACACACACACACACACACACAGGGAGCAGGTCTCTGCGGACGGTGATGAACGAGGCCTGCCAAAGCTACTGTTAGTTCTGTGAGCGCTCCAAGAGAGCAGAGCGGGAGGATTATTTGGAAGGTCAGAAGCAAAGGTTTGGAGATGGGATGGATGGATATAGAGAGAGAGAGAGAAGCGAAGAGAAGAAGTGAGACGATGAGTCGTAAACTCTCAGAGATCACAAAGCTAGTATTTGAGCCTCACCCTGAAATCCTATCCTAAAACATCACCTTGGCTCTACCCACACACCCGAACCACTTCAACTTATCTACCGGGACTCCTGCCAACGTCCGTAGTCATAACGAAACACAATCATTATAGTTTAGCTTCACGTTTCATCTCTTATCACTTTGTACTTGTCCGTCTCTCTCCTCTCTCTCCAGTGTAAATATCATGGGGAAATGCAAATCTACAGAAAATGGTGAAAAGAACTGGATCTCAGCAGGTTTTAACATGCTTCAGGGCAAAATACTGCAGTAGAGTCAAGTTTAAACAGCCTTCCGTTGTCTCTTTTTAACTTTAATGCTTGTTTTGTTTTTTAAAACACTTCTTAAAAAGGTGCAATTGACTCGCTATCTTCCCTTCTCAATCCCGTGTCACTTCCCAATGTAGCCGACAGCACAAAGGCCCATCCATTTGAAATGTCAACCGCTCCACATCGGCGCAAAGGACCGTGTGTGTGTGTGTGTGTGTGTTTGTGCATAATGTGGCCGGGGACTTGTAGCTCATTTGAGGCCTCGGGGGTCTGCAAGTCCATCAAATGATGTCGTCTATAAAGCGATTCCATCATCCTAATCCTCGTAACCCTCCCCATCTCTCTTTTAGTCACAGATGCATGCGAGGTCAAGAGCCATGCAGATCAAAAAGCAGCAATCCAATCATGCAACAAAAACCACACAGTGATCTCATTGCCTGTGAACGGGCACATCTCCCAAACGCATGCGCACACACGCACGCGCACACACGCACGCGCACACACGCACGCACACACACACACACACACACAGAACCCCCCCCGTCCAGCCTCTCCTGCGCTCAGACGGCCGGGTTTCAAAGCTTCTGAGGTCCTCTGAGAAAGGCAGTCTTCATGTGGGGATGTGTTGGATGGTCTTGCAGGGATTAAGGTCAAGTAAGCATGCTGGACGAGGAGAACGTTAACCAATCACTACTGATTGATAGATAAAAGGACCCCATGCTCCCTCAGTTCTATATCAGTTTGAGACTGAGTGAACTGCCATCACAGAGGACCACTAGAGAATGTCTCATGTCTGTGGTACTAAACCCCCTAACCCATTCATTTATTAAAGAAGTACATTTTTTGATGGGGACTATTTTCTCCCACGGATGAATACAGGTTTGTTGCTCTAGTGAGTATTTACAGCAGCAGGACGGAGTACGAGTGTATTAACTGAAAACACGCTTCAGTGCCCATGACCATGTTCACTGTTAATTAATTCATGTGCTTTACTACGGCGCTCTATGGCACAGATGAATAAGTTATATTAGGGTTTCGTTACAAAGACAGTGTGTAAAAAGAAGAGTTGATTATTCCCTTTGAGAAACAGTTGCAAGTTACAGTAAAGTGCAGTCACTTGTTCCTCTTCACTGAGTTTTATTTATCTTCTCCACCACACAAACCAAAATTGTTTCCTTTGGAAAAATTCCCCTCAATCACTGGATGCTGCGACCTCGTGATAACACTGGAGGAAGCTTCACTTGCGGGGGAAAATCATGCGACATGTCTCTCTGACACACAGGTCAACACTGCAGCTTAAAACACTATCATCAAATCAAATCTCAAAAGAACTCAAAAGTGCATCTGTGGGCAGCGCACAGCGAAAGTAAGAGGAGAAGAATCCACAAAAAGGCTCTGTGAATGGTTTCACTGATACTGAACTACATCAAAACACGTGAAGCCAACTGAAAGCAAATGAGTAGCATGCCTCCTCCATTATTCACCCAACACACACACACACACACACACGCGCACACACACACCCTCTCTTCCTTCAATTATTCACCAGGTGAGTGTGAGCGAAGATGTTCTGCACTCACACACACTCCTCTACCATTGCACATAAATAATAAAGCCCACAAATGTATATGTGTGTGTGTGCCACTAATGCAATGTGTGCGAATGTTGTGTCATGTGTTATTTATGTTACGCGTATTCAAACAATGTACATTTTCTCAACGTTCGCTCAAGCACAAATGACAATAACTAGTAAAGAATATCAACAATCAAGAATCAAACGCTTCACTATGTGCTACATGCTAGAAGCTGGAGTTGTTTCACTCCATGAGAGGGAAAAGCTGCAATAGATTGAAATGGTATTCAGGCTCTGTGCCTCGAATAACAGAGGAGTCCAGATAAAACTCTGCAGGATCTGCTTTTGATCTGATGGAGTCCACGTTACCCGTCATGGGAACCCTGGCTGATAAGAGTCTGTCTACATTCCTGACTGAAAGCCAGAGGACATACAGCTGATTTTAAAAACACCAGATCATAAGGACACAGACATTTTGAGGATGAACATCTAAGCTCTCAATGTCAAACCACCTGGATCCAAGACACTTTATTGAAGACACGCGTGGCACCGTTTTCAGCTGACATCATTGTTTGTGTAAAGAAATGTGCCTGTTGATGATAAAGAGCCCTGTGTTTAGGCTCTTTGAGATGCATTGCTCCTGTACCGAAGCCCCCTCTGGCTGAGGTTTGGAGATAACTGGCTCAGCTAATGAGCTAGCCTTCCACTCTTACCTCCCAATCGAGTGTCTACTTTAGTGTGAGCTGCGAGCTTATCTCTGGATTCACACGTTAGACTACATCTGCTGCACAAACACAATAGCAGGCTTTGTACCAGGAAAGAGACAGAGTACGTGAGTCAAGCTCAAAGAGACAATGCGTCCCTTATTTCACTGCGATAAGCACCGAAAGTATAAGTCATTAATTTGGTTGGTTCCCTTTCAATCCTCAGCATTCTTTTTCTTCTAACCCTGTATCCCTCCATCCGTCTCTCCACTCCTCTCTTCATTATTATTCCCAGTCCAGTCTGCTGGTTGCCATTTTCGCTCTTGTAGCAGCAACCAAACCATCTCAGGGTGCAGTATTAGTATTTTGTGGTCATGCTGCTGCAGTCAGCTGATGTGTCCTGCTCTCCTGCGGCCTGAGGCGTGACGTCTGAAGACGTTCCGCAGAGATAGGACATTTCACTTGTGTGTGTGGAGAACCACAAGCTCGGTGCTCTTACATCAACTTAGGATTTTGAAAAATGCCAAATAAAAAACACACACACACGCAGACGACAGTCCTCACACAGACACCAGATCCCAGTCCTCTGTCAAACCGTCCACGGACACATCCTGAGGCACTGACACACTAACAACCACATGCATTCTTGGCATTTCCACAAGAGCCAATTACGACGCCCCCGAACTTGCAGCTCTGGATGTTCTACCAGCCGCCTGAGACAGTGACTCAATCTTTCTTAATTGCCATCACGAAAAACTCCCCAAATTCTAAGCTGATAATTCGGCGGCTGGGGTTTTTCTGAACGGCCCGCAGTTTGCCGAGGAGGGCTCAAAAGCCAAACTCTCCATCAGCTTGCGGCAGACATTAATTCAGAAACTCAAGAAGACTCCCACCTGGAGATGCCATACCAGGAGCACCGCAGCACCGATGTCATTAAAGCTGCTCTGCTCTCAGAGGAGCCCTTTCTCTAAACAGCATTAGGGAGCCGCCGTAGCCAAACGCATGCCTCCGACTCACTTAAATGCAGGCACACACCCTCACACGAAGACTCAAAACACATGGAAATACTTCGCCAGATCAGGGAGAATACTGGCTACTATTCTCTACAAAGAATCTACAGTTGCGTATGTTTGTAATGTGAGTAAATGAGGGAATGGGAAGCTAAAAGATAGAGGACTTCCTATAATAAACATGCCATGAGAGCATACATTTTTAGCATCAGCAGCTTTGGTGGGCATCAAATCAGCGCTCCGAAAAGCCGAGGCTGGGATACAGCGAGAGAGAAAAAGACAGAAATAGAGCAAAGGTTGGAGCCGTTTCTGTCTACGAGGCAGCTTCGCGGTCCGTAGGTGTGGTGTGCTTAGACAGGAAGCCGGTTTCTACTCCTTCTTCCTGTGTACCTCCAGGAAGATAAGGCTCAAGGTAAATGGAGCATATCGAGCCATCCTCTTGCAACCACCAAGGGCAAGAAGATCCCTAAAGCTTTGCCACATTCCTTTGAGTTTTCTTACACTTTTTTTTGAGGATTTGCTCAACGTGTGTGTGATGCAGGAGTTTGACAAACAGATAACAAAACGTCTGCAATCCTCACACATTACTCACCGATATCTGGAAGACTTCCTGCGTGTCATCGAGCATCTGAACCCTGATGGACACTTGTCGCCCTGGAGGCTGGGAGGGAGGACGCAGGCCCGGCTCCAGAGTGGACACCCCAAAACTGTCCGGGGCGCCCAGCCTCTGTCCGGCTGCAGACGGCTTGTCGGCTGGTTCCACCATGGCGGCAGACGCTGCGGCGAGGGGCTCTCGAGCTGCAGGCACCTCTGTTCACGTCTGGAGGAGACAGGAAAGAATAGTTTTACTCAAAATCCGGGGGTGCAGTTTGTGTCTTTTTATGTGCGTCGAGCCAGAAAAGCCAATAATCTGCTCTGTGATTTGGGGGTTCCTAAAATACAGAGCAGGCAGTTTTGAGCCAAAAGAATCAGCCAGTTCCTCCAACATCCAAGCTTCTACATAAGGCCCTCATCATAGCTAGTAAGACATGTTCCTTGTAAGGTGCTCTGCTTTTACAGGATTTGTCAAATTCCTATTGTGGGTATTTGACAGACGAAAAACAATATATGATGCTCCATGAACAGAACCTGAGAAAATGAAGGTAAAAAGTTGCTTAGAAAAGTTCCTTAAATGTGGAAAGAAATGAAACATTCACCTCTTATTTAAAAAGGGAGTAAGAGGATCTCATGTAGAACACTTGGGAGGGAAACTTTGTGCTGAATCAGTCCAGGAAATGTGCAAAAAAAATAAATCTTGCCACGTTTATTCAGTCGAGATTAAATTGGCCTTGCACAATGTAAAACCACTAGACGTAGTCAGTAGGGACTTCTTTTTCAGTCGGGGTGATGAAATGAGTGTATAAACCACAGCCCCACACAGAAATACAGCTGAACGTAAGAGTTTGGCCGATGCACAGAGACGCAGACAGGCATGTCTCACACCTTGCTAGACACACACTTCTCCCAGCTGCAGCACATGCAGGTGGGATCTCCTACAAACCGAACACAGGGCCCTCTGTGAGACGAGTTCAGACATGAATCAAAGCTCCACAAGTGGGGCAGATGACATACGGTCTGAGAGCACACAAAGACGCTCAAACCCCCCGCCACACACACACTCACACAACCCACAGTTGATGAACCTCAACCTCAGACAATAAATATGCCCTCAGACGGTTGGTGACATCACAGCTGAGGAATATTTGAGGAGACAGTCGGGGGGGGGGGGGGGGGCAAAGCAGGGACGAAGAATGAGACATGAAATCTCTCATGTCCTTTGTTTTCTTTGCTTTCTCCAAGGTGAAGTTGTCCTCAGTTTGGACATCAATACTTGTCAATAAACCCTTAAATCAATATGTCATTAGGGAGCTATTGGGCATCCTGGTGATTAACAGGTTAGATCTTTCTTTGAGTTCACGACATTTAAAGGTCCACAGGAATGTCAAAGTATCCTCCAAATGTTCCTGAGAAACACAGCTTTCTTTTGCCCAAATCTGGAGGATAAAGACGGTGGATAATTCGTGGCCCTAAAAAAAAAATCCGCAGAGTGATGGACACGTTTCTCTGTGAGGCGAAGACGGGAAGCCCCTCCGCAATTGGGGATTATTCAATTAATCAAATAAAGACAATAATCTGCAACTCTTACGATAATCTCTTTGGATTTTAGACAAAAGAAAAGCAAGCTTCAAGACGTAATTCGGGGCATTCGGAAATAGTCACTGGGATTGTGCATTTATAGCCCATTATCTTATCGATTAATTAAGAAAATAAGCAGCAGATTAATTAATTGGGAGATTGAGCCATACAGCAGAGCCTTCAGTCTTCTTCAGGCCCGATAGTCGTAGTCCAGAGGAAGAGGCCCCGGATATGGCCCACAGCCAGCGGATGCCTACAAGCTCCAGGGGAGCTGCTCTGTAGCTGACCTCTGACCTCAGTGAAAGTGGACTTCTCCTTCCACCTGAATCCATTACCACAGAGATATACTGTGTGCAAAGTGAACACAAAACACATGCAATAATCTGTATTTGCAAACTCCTTTTGTTCCTTCACGCCTCATCCAGCCTTTTATTTCAAACGTGGGAACAGATTCTTTCCAGAACTCAAAACCCAATCTTCAACTAATCCCTCCACCTGTGAAATACAAACGAGCACCTCTCTTCACCTCGCTGACAAAAGCTTAAACTGGAAACCAGCCAAGGAAGGGACCCGACGTTCAAGTTACTCATTACACCTGTGGGAAAACTCCTTTGTTCTTGTGTGCTACTTCCCCACCGACGCTCTGCCTGGCTCGTTGTTTACTCGCCGCTCAGTATCGGAGAGTCCTGCTCCACAAAAAGAAGAAGTTTAGCCTCAAAAGGAACCCTTCACTCAACGCTGTGTCGCCATTCAAGCCGGTTTTATAGCTGGAGCCAATCATTCTCTAACAAGGAGATGCGAATTACCCTGACAGACATCAGGACGTATAAAGTTGGTCTTCAGTCTCTCAGCACCAACTCATCAACGAGGAGCCTGTGGGGCTCAACAACAAAACGTAACACAAAACAGCAACTAAAGCAAAGTACAGTGTCAGAAAAAAGAGCTCACCTCGGGGCGTGCAACAGCACCAAAACACAGCAAGAAGAGTTTCCCCCTCGTGAACAAAATCATAAATGTTGACTGGATCGATTCAAGACCTCGAGGGTTGCAAACTGTTCATCGATCTCCTGTTCTGGATCAATGAACAGCTCAAGAGTGGAAGCAGAAGTTGTCATCGTCTCCTCGGCCAGGGCCGGGGATTATACATGGGGTTTAGTTGGGAGGAATACAGAGCGAGCCGGTCACACAGGCACAAAGGAAGCCACTGTGGGAGCTTCCAGCAGCGGGGCTTTAAAAACTCGGAGGGACCGAGGCCCCTCAAGCAGCCTTTGAACTGGTGTTAGCCGAAAGTTTCCCAAGAGTTAGTGAGAGGGAAGCCAGGCTCTGGGAATCGGATGCGAGTGTGTGTGTGTGTGTGTGTGTGTGTGTGTGTGTGCGCGCGTTTGTGTTAAACACAGAGAAGGCGTTTATCTTTCACAGGCAAGAACACGCAAATCTGCTGTTAATTCTGCCGACTGTGCGGTTTTTGATAACTGAAGACGGTGTGGTGAAAATGACCCGTTACAGAATGTGGGTCAGAACATGGAGGTTGCATAATAGGCAACATGTGCCAGCTCTGAAACAGGTCTGACAATCAACACTTTGATGAAGTGGATTTGTCAAAGCAACATGAGATAAACTACAGTGTTGATCATGTTGGATATACTAATACACGTGTAGCAGTGTTTCTATCGGAGACTTAACACTTCTCACTTCATATTTTGTATATTAGTCCTACATATATACCTATATGTTGTGTGGGGCTGCTGCTAACGAATACATTTATACAAATAGATGATTATTTTCCCCATTAATCATAAAATGTTTTGTCCGAACAATAATATGAAGAGCTGAAAATGCAGCGACGAGTGTGGAGCTCCATGCAATATACAATAATAGTCTGGTTGTACTTGTTGCCATCTTTCCAACAGGAGGATCCCATTCAAGAAACAGCCGCTGACTGAAAAATGACACTCTGAAGCATCAACTACAACCCGACTAAGCACAGGTGAGGGGGAGACCAAGGCCACAATGCTCCTGGACGGATCAGGAGGCCGCGCGCTCGATACCGCGTTTTATCAAGGCGACACTCTGCCCCCGTGGAGCCATTAAGCTGCTCTACTGCTCTCTGGAGAGCTATTGTGGCCGTGTGTGCGTGAGAAAGGGATTGTAACACCAATTCTCCTGGCGTTACGGGTGTGATATTGATTGTAAGAGTGAATTGGCAACAGGGCAGCTAGTGATAAGGCAGAGCAACCCTCGGGACAAAGCCTCCCCACTGACCCTGTGCTCTGACCTCTTTCCAAATGGGGGAAGGAAAAAAAGGAAAGAGTCATTGCAGATTCTCCAGAAGGGTTCTGCAGCAGCTTTGTCAGGTGAAATGAAACAAACACCCTGATGTATAAAAAAAAAAAAAAGGCAACACACCTCAGAGTACAGTTGGCACAGAGTGCAATCTCCAGGATGTAGTGTTAGCAGAGTAATCCTTTTGGCCAGAGTAAAGAAGTCAGTGAGCTAAAGCAGCCTGATCACACACTAGAGACTGTTAATGTGTGCTCAATATGAATGTGCATGTGATGACAATGACAAGCCTGCTGTAAGGTTCGGTGAATGGAAAGGTCAGCAGGGAGTGACTGAGGAGAGAAATAAATATATAAATAAATATAAAACATCACCCGAAGTACATGCCAGCTAAAACAAAATACAAAATAAATCACAAAAGATATACTATCAGACAAATGCGGCAATGCGTGTAAATGTTTGAAGCAGTTATTGGAGATCCTTGTCTATAATTAAGCTTACAGTAAAAAAAAAAAAAAAAAGAAAGAAGCTGCTGGACCCTAAAGCTCAGCCGATTAGACAAACGAACAGGCTGCAACCGAAGCGAGGTTATACTTAACATATCGGGCTCATCAAACATCACCCACTGCTGCCTAAAGAAGCCAAACAGCAGGAAACAAAGTGGTTGTTTTTCAACAAATGTGGCGAAATCCAACCACAAGTGTGCTCCATACAAGGAGTACGAGAGCAGCTACGCGTAACCTCGCTCCGTAATCCGGATAGCATGGTTTCCTTACCCCCTCTTTCTTCAGGATCCACCGATCGTCCGTCAGCAGGAGCTTTTAATTCCGACGCAGACGGTAAATCCCGCACGGTGCCGTTAAGTTTTGAGCAGTGGGTCCGAACCGCTCCCTCTCAGGCGGGACGTGGTTTCGGTGTGGAAGCCATTGAAACAAATGTGGGAAACCCGGCGCACTGAGCTTTCTACTGGAACAATAAAGAGCTCCACACCGCCTCCAGCACCAGCGCCCCGGCGCTACACTGTCAGGCAGGAAGGGAGAAAGTGCGACCAGGGAAGCTAAACAGCGCCGCCGCACGGTCGTTTGGGGGAAATGGCAGCGTGGAGGCGAAGGGTCTGGGGTTCTTGCTGCATTTAAAATACTAAAATACATCTAGACTTTCAGACATATCAGGCAGGATGAGTCTGAATAAAGTGAGCGCCCAAAAAACTGGGTCCTTGTCGCAGTGGGCCGCGTTCGAATCCGAGTCGTAGCCCTTTGCCGCATGTCCTCCCTTCTCTCTCCCCCTCTTTCCTGTCTACTGGCTCCACTATCAAACAAACAACAAGATGTGTATTTTCTCTTAATGGAGAATAAACTGGTGTAAAGGTTCATTTGAAATAAATATTGTTTTGGTAAGAGAGGGTTTCTTTTGGGATTTTGCACAATGTAAGTAAACCATGTCTTGGAAAGGTTAAGAATGGAAATGATTTCTGTGGGAAGGTAAGTTTGCCATCTGTTCTCTCATTGTTTTTACATCCAAGAAATGGACTGACTGAATGAATTCAAAAAATAAAAGGTCATCAAAACAAATTGAATACAATTACGAAAGTACTGTCGCCCACTTAAGTACTAATTTGAGGTACTTTACTCAAGTATTTCCCTGTCCTGCTTTACGCTTCTGCACTACTCCATTCCAGAGGGAAACATTTTACTTTTTACTCTGCTACATTTATTTTACAACCACCAGTTATTAAGTAGATTAAGATTTTACGTGCAAAACAATGACTTTATCGAATATTAAGCATTGTTGTAGATTAAACTACCCGACAGTGTATAATCCATTTACTATACCAACTGTAAGATGTTGCTTGCACGGCAACACATCAGCAATAACAATCAAATAATTGAATATATGAAAATATTGTATTTGATTTGAGTGTTTTCACTTTTCATAGTTAAAGAATATGTTTCTAGTCTACATAAATTAGTCTACATTTAGTCTACATAAATCCAGGACCTTCACTTGTAAAGAGTGCTTATATGGAAATTGATGTTTTATAGGCAACAGAAAATATAAAATACTTTCTCATTCCTCACTTGTAATATTTATCTTCATTTCACCTTCATCTTGTGGAAATTTTAAAAAACTTAAGTGGCCAGTACGGGGATCGAACCCGCGACCTTGGCGTTATTAGCACCACGCTCTAACCAACTGAGCTAACCGGCCACGACAAATGCATTAAAGACGTTACAATTTATACGTCTTCTACGTTTATTGCTTGAGCGAGGGTAAGACTGCTCACGTGACCCAGTAAAATGGCGACCACAATGCAGAATGGATTTGAATGTGAGTACGCCGTATTATTAGCTAACTGTTCGTAAATAAACCAGTGTTTTAAATTCATATTGTTGCAAACCGTCGTCGGTGGCCTTTCATTGCATTACAACGCACGTGTTCGCCTTTGCGGTTTAGTGTAAAAAATACATCCGTTCGTTCCGTTTTATCATCAGTTCAACCACGTTACCTCATCGTTTATTGTGCGTCGTTACTCAGCTGTTTTCACTTTCAGCTCATTCTTTTTTTAAATATTTTCAGGATTTAAACTGAGTGGGTCCGTTTTGCTGGAAATTTTGGATCTGCTGGTTAATTGATCGTCATAATAATCAAATCACAGAATCAGGATGGCCCTAAATGTCTTTGGTAAGCAGCATCACACCTCACATGTTTCTATTTGTGCATGTATGTATGTGTTTTTGTACCTTGTTTGTAATGTATTTAGCCTTAGGTCAAATTGGGATACCCCGCTATGTTTATAAGTCAATATTTTCAAGTACTGTACTAAAGTATCATTTTGAAGCACTTGTATACTTTAGTTCTTCAATTTTGTGGAACTTAAAACTTCTTTTCCACTAAATTTCTGAGGAAAATAAATAAATTCTTCCTCTGCTACATTTATGTCCTAATTATATTTACTGGTTGCTTGACAGACTAAAGTTTTACAAACATACCATATGGTCATCTTAGAAAATATGATGCATGAATCTATCCGGCAGTGAATAAAGTAGTTAAATCAGCTTTACTATGACCTATTATAACATGAAAGTGCTGCTTACACTGCAATAATAATGAATTAGCCAACATATAATATAACATTATAAACTCTAACAGGGCTAGCAGTGAAATCAAGTATTACTACTTAAGTAAGTACTTAAAGTTGTGTGTATTTTACGTGGTGCACTGCCTAAAATGAGTCTTTATTTCCTGTTAAATGGGACTAAAGTATTGCTTTATATTTTACGCTTTTTGGTAAGCTTTCATGTTAAATCTTAATCTGTTGTTGAAACATTGCAGCGGTTGGAAAAAAGAGGGGGAAAAGTGTAATATTTGTCATTTAAATGTAGTCTCATACTGTAAAAATGGATACTCGACTAAATCACCAATGCATTAGAATAGTCCTTGCAGCACTTGTGTAAAAAGATTACTTTGCAGACACTGTGAGTTGTCAGCAGGCGAGCTGTTTAGTCTTTGGTGTGTCTCACTGTGAGGTTGTGTTGCCTTGAGAAAGAGGGTGAGACACTTGCCCCGGGAGTTATTTTGAAGACAGGATACCGGGACGACAAGTATTGAATAGATAAGGCCGGCCGAGTGACCACAGAGTGAACACGGAGACAGGAAACAGGCTGTTAGTTTCACCCACGCAGACAACATGGAAGACTGAATCTGAAAAGATGCTGGCCAAACGACAGACTTAAGTTTTTAAGGAAAGAAACGCATGTTTTTACGATGGAAAAACCCTGCCACGATAAGGACACGATAGGACAGATAAACATCGCAGTGAGAGCTCATTTACAAGCCATCCTTTCTGCAATTTAAATTAATCTTTCACAGCTTTTTATGCGTCACAGAGTACATTTATTCACAAAGTCACTTAGTCACAGTTTATGCTCGCTGAGGTTTTTGGTGGTTTGAAAATAACTGCAGTCAGTGTGGTACCCCGAGGTAGTTGCACACAAACTACATTAAATAAAGTAGTTTAAAGCCTTCTCTTCACATGTCATGCCGTCAAACTGTTTATTTAGCTTGTTTATTCCGCAATAGCATTAATAAAGCTGCTCAATTTCCTTTAGCAGTGTCAGTTTTAAGCTGTAAAAAAATCCTGGGATTGCTTCAAAATGCCTGCGCTCTTACCCAGCAACCACTTCTCTTGCGTTAAACCAACGTTTGAGTATGTTTGGCTGAGTGGAATGTTGAGCTCCTTCAATTTAATGACAGAGTCATGATCTTATCTGGTCGATGGTTCATATCGAAATTGAGACGTCGAACAGGCAGATCAAATAATCGCAGCAGCGTGTTCTGTCCACTTGGGGGCGCTGGAGCAACAGAAATGACGAGTAGCTGTTTGAGAGCTTGTGCTTTTTCTGTCCTCAGATCACGATGAATACAGGCCACCGGTGTGGAAGTCTTACTGTAAGTAGTGAGGGAACATCTTGTGTGTTATTATCCGAATGTTTGACTTTTGTGTTTCTTGATAACGGTTTTGGCTTTTTGCTGATGATTTGCTGTGTCTTCTGCCACAGTGTACCAGCTCCAGCAGGAGGCGCCTCACCCACGCAGACTCACCTGCACCTGTGAGGTGAGAACACGCTCCCTCCTCCAGCCAGCCAGTGTTTAATTAGTCTGCCATGTCTCGCTTTAAACGCATTATTTAGTGGTAAGACTTTCTGGTATACGCTTCAATAACGTCACTTTTCTTGGAACCAGATTACAGAGGATGGAGGCTTGAAGTTGCCATTGTGGATGTGCTGTCACTTTGCATGCAATAGCAACAACCCCTTTTACCTTTTTCGGGGGGGGTTTAACACATGAAAATGCAGTTTAAATGAGGAGCAGGAGATTTGAGCACAGGCGCAGTACGTTAACTGGGTATATCCCTGCACAGATGTTTGATTTGAAATGAGACCAAAGCACCCTAAGGTGCTCAGTTTGCTGTGCCATTAGCTTGTATCTTCACTTAGGCATGTTGTCTATTCTCCAACATCACGTTCAATTACCAACTGAAACAATAATGCTGTGGTTTAAGCCTCAAGCAAGCTGAACGTTTCACAGTGTGTCCTTGTGTGTCTGTTAGTTGTCCGCTGACTCGGCTTGTAGCCGAGCTGATTGTTTTCGCTGTAGTTCACCAATCTATTGTCTTTTTATTCATGTTGGTAAAAGCACCTTTAGTGTTGTTATAATACTTGCTTCTGTAGCAGTGAGTCGAAACAAAAGTACAGCGGCTCTTCACTCCTGTTGTTCCTCTTTTTCTCAAAAGGAGAGAGCGCTATTAGTAATATTTAGTTCATGATAAGTACAGGCTCCGTCCTAGCTGAAGGTATCCACCTAAAACCATGCACCAGCACCTCAACCATGGGGGGGTATGTGTGTGCCACCAGCTGTGTGTGTGTGTGGGGGGGACAGCGAGGTTCTGGGGGAATCCAATGTGGATTAGAGAATGGGGGGGGATTGTGCGTCTGGTGTTTGTGTTAATCTGTAAAAGACAGTCCTGTTAGGGCATACTGTGTCTGTGTGTGTGTGTGTCTGTGTGTGTCTGTGTGTGTGTGTGTGTGTGTGTGTGTGTGTGTGTGTGTGTGTGTGTGTGTGGAGATGCTAAATTAACAGCTGTTGGCTTTGATGCCCTGGTCAGGTAGTCGGTGCTGACCCACTTAAAGTCATCAGACAGACAGAACAGAGGAGCCCCCCCCGCTACTGGCAGCTCTGTATGGTCTGCTGGGAGTTCAGCCATATGTGATTTAATGATGCACCAATAAGCACTTATCTAAGGCTGGTACTTTTTAATTTGTGGCAGGTCTTAAATGACTTAAATGAAGGAGAGACTGTCCTTTAGACAGAGGACCTCTGGTTACATTATTATTATTATTATTATTATTATTATTATACAGGTTTACCAAAACACTAGCTAAAAACAAGGGCAGATACAGTCTATGTGCACCTCATGTCAAATCCTCTCACAATTGATTGTTTTTATTGTGCACGTATTAGGCTAAAATTGTGCGTGTGCCTCTATATTTTATTGTCTGTCCCTTTCACTCTCTCACACACACACACACTTACATACATTACGTGCAATATTCTCTGCGCCCACACACTCACGACGAGCACGGTGTGTGTTTGTGGTGGCATTTCACGCACTATACATATATTGTTGTTGTGAGGAATGTTGTGCTCTCCTACAGAGAAATATGACATTGTGATCGTGCCATGTAAACATTTTAGCTGTACTTGTACCTTCTCACCGTTCCCTTTTAGTGTTTTACAGACGACATATTGTCCTTTTCCTTGCAGGGAGACAACCGACCTAAATACTATGGAAGAGAGTGAGTTGGCCTTCTCTTTATCAGTACATTACATGAGGCACATTCCCTCAATTCATCTCCACCTCCACATACGTAAAAACCTGTTTTGTGGAGGACATCTTGACTTATAATTTGCTTCTCTTCACATCCAGGTACCATGGGATGATCTCAAGAGACGAGGCCGACCGGTTGCTGAGTCAGGCCGAAGGCAGCTACCTTATCCGAGAGAGTCAGAGGCAGCCGGGCACGTACACGCTGGCTCTGAGGTAATGTCTGTGTGGGTATGAATCCCCTTCGCTCTTAGCAGGAACTGTTGTTTGAATTTGGGTTTTGGGTCAGTTTGCTCTATTCATAGCCGTGTCAGTCTTCCACCTGCACTCGGCTCTCCCCGTGGTTATAATTACCTTCCATAAATACCCCTTCATAATAAACTAGCGTCCCGCTCTGGGTCGGCACAAATGGAAAGGTTTGATTTTGGGTTAATGATGTAACGGTGCAGTTTTATCTCGCGGTGGTTTCATTGTGATCCGCTGAGGAGCAGATAATGGGTTGGCCCAGTTCAGTGTCTGTCTGTCATACAGTTTGTGCCATTTTCTGACTCTGTATTATCTCAGTAAACTGCTGCAGTATTATGTGCATAAAGGGGGGAAGCATGAGTAGAGTCTGTCCATCAACTAGCCTATTCTCTCTTCTTTTGTTGTATTTTTGCTTTGAAGCTTCCTATATTTCTTTTTTCTTTGAAACTAAAACCAGCCAGTGTTCTCACTTTGATCAGATCTGATATTAAAAATAAGCATAACTAAGATTTCAAGCATCAATTTTACAACCCAGATGCCTAATTGACTTACAAGCCGAAGGTGTCCTCCTTCGTTCCATCCAGGTTTGGGAACCAGACGAGAAACTTCCGTCTCTACCACGACGGGAAGCACTTTGTTGGAGAGAAGAGGTTCGAGTCCATCCACGACCTGGTCACAGACGGCCTCATCACACTCTACATCGAGACAAAGGTGTGTGTCCCTCATCCTCTGTCCTCCTTAACAGCACAGTTAGACCCACTAATCAGAGCTGTAGTCAGTGAATGCTGATTATGGAGCCCATGTTTACCAGACCTTCAGCAATGAAACAATGTGGTTTCACAGGCAGGAACAATAATAATTGACACTGAAATGATATCCACCTGCGACTGTAACCGTCTCTTCTGTCAGGCGGCGGAGTACATCGCTAAGATGACCATAAACCCCATCTACGAACACGTCGGCTACACCACCCTGAACCAGGAGCCCACCCCGAAGAAACATCTGCCGCAAAGCCCCGAGGCCCCGGATGGACCCGCTCCGGCCAAAGACGGCCATAACGCTGAGGAGAGGGTGAGGACACACACGCATGCATGAATGTTGTCATTATATAGTATTGAGTGTCATTCTGAGGAAGTATCTCCAGCTAAGGAGGGATATAGCGGAGCTTTTAGAGGCTGCATGATAATAAACCATTAATCACAGCATAACATCTATTAATATCTTCAAAACTCATCACTCTCTGCAAGAAATATGGAAATGGGAACTGTGTAGGAACTCAGGCCGAGAGCATCCTTCTAGAGTAGAGACATTAAGAATAACAAATGTGTGGAACACAGATGTTTAAATGACGCTGAGTCACTAGATCTCACCACCATGAATAAAGCTTACGTAAATATGGTTAGGAAAGTAGATGAATGTTAAGAATGTGAATGTTGCTGCATGTACAGTACTAGGATGGAAGGATTAGAGCTGAGGAACATGGTGAAGGAAAGAAGAGGAGGAGGAGGAGGATGGATGGATGCAGAGGAGAGATGGCCTCCAGCCAAAGGCTCTGCAGTAAAATGACATAACTGCAGTTAGCCTGCAGAAACCTGCTACCTCCCAAAAGTATTTATGAATGGACTTTGTTGTTGGCTCATTAGTTTCCATTCAGCTGTGAGGTCATTTACGGGGGAACTTTTTTTTTTCCAACAGATGGAGCTTTTCTTTAGAGTTTGAAAGCAGATGTTTGGAGATGTGAGGTTTACTGTGTGAACGCGGGAGATGCTAGCTCAGATGCTAATCGCTGGGCAACCTTTCATGTAAATGTTCAGCTCTGCAGCTGTGTGTGTTTGTGCAGGTGGGTGCATGAAAAAACCAGGCAGCAATGCAGTCCAGTTGAAAAAAACAAACGAAGAAGTGTGGGCAGTGTGTTTATCTGCTACACCAGTACTGAACCTCCGGAGGCCTTGTGTGACCTGCAGTGCATGACCACCTACACTGCACCTCATACATCACTGTGTGTGTGTGTGTGTGTGTGTGTGTGTGTGTGTGTGTGTGTGTGT